TAAGAAGGTGCTATTTAAGAGACTGAGCTGAAAACAGCACCTCAGACTGAGGAAGTCTCTTGGATGAGAGACGAAACGTTTCTAGATTTCTTTTGCTTTGTTTTGCTTTTGTTTTTTTTTGAATGTCTAGAGGACCAGATTGAAATTTTTGGAATTTAATCTGTTCTAACTGCACAACAACTTCAGAATCGATACACACTTGCCGTCATGGGTGGCGTCCATATTTACTTCCTTAAACACAGCTTGCTGTGTGTGATGTCGCATCATTTTCTATGCATGCAGATCACATCAGGGACATAAAAAATTCACACGAAAATCTGATGGTGGTCAGATTTAAGTTATAATATGAATGACCACACACACACACACAAATCAAATCTGAACAAAAATTTGGAATTGACCATTATGACCTGCAAGTATGAACATGGTAGTCGCCATTACATTTTCATGACTGATACTTATAGTAGAGTTGATAAATAGTACTTTATTGGTTATTAATCTTTGTTTTAATCCTCTTCTTCCTCCATAGATGAACTTTATCTTTTTGTATATGACTCTGTTTAATCGGCAGCAGGAATTAAAACATTCACCTATTTCACAGGGCTAACGATACCACAGAGCTGATTGAGGAGGCAGCCCATGCAGCTCCGGATGGTGCAGAAACCACTCAGGCACTCCTCAGGACATTTGCCTTGGTGGAGCCTCCAGATGAAGACGCCTGCTGTGTGGTTTCCACTGAACCATCTCTCCACAGCAGAGACAAGCAGCTGGGCAATGTGGCTCCGAAAAATAACACACCTGCTACAGACCTTATCCCTGGTGTGGTTTTGAGCTTTATTGTCTTTCCTTTTAAATTAGTTTGCAGTTTATCAACTTAAATATTCAAACCTATTTTAAAATACTAAATTTTATTGAGGGTTAAGTATTTTCCACACTTATTGTCTTTTGTAGACACTCCTGGTCAGAATGGCTGTGCTGTTAACAAGGCAGGTTGTAACTGTACTGATGCAGGAAAAGAGCATCACTCATGTGCCTCCGTGTTCCAAAACTCGAGCTTTGAGGTCATCTCATTGTGCAGGTGAGGAGATGGTGTTTCCACTGCTTGGCTCCAGTAGAGTCTCAGAAGTGTCTTAACTTGGCAAGTTAAGATGGGACAGAAAACTTCAAACATGGTTCAGCAATGTTCACATTTTGCATATTAATACTGACTTGTTGTGCTCATTCTAAAAAGATTTGTAACTGGTTGATTGAAACTCTCTCCCAGATCATCCTCCCCTGGCTTCTCTGAACGGTTTGCTGGTAGGGCTGGTCCTGATCTGGCCCAAGCAGAGAACTTTAATTCAGCGCATGTGGTGGACTCGGCGAGTTGTTTCCTGGACATCAACAGCGATGGAGATGTAGTTACCCGAGCACTAGATGAGCTAGATCTGAGTGAAAGCGTAGAGCTGCTCAGCACTGGAGGGTATAACGATGACCATAACCACTCCCGGATATCTTGTGATACAGCTGAACTCTTACAAACTCCCTTCCCATATGTGGCAGAGTCTGACCATGAGCCTGAGATGCCTCCCCCTTCTGTGGAGGTACAGAATTTTTCAGCTCAGGAGCAGGATCACTGGGCTGCTCTGTCTGTTATTCATAAAGCTAAGAGCCAGGAGAGCTCAGTACAAGTGAATAGTGCTATTCAGTCACTGGCAGATATGCCTGCCACATCAACACCTAAGAAACAAAAAGTGAAGGGGCACATCCCATCTTCCAACACTACACAGATATTGGAAGGACGAGTTGAAGGAAGTGGCTACCACAGAGACGGCACAAGAGTAGGTTGGTAAAATATTTAATGTTGGGATATTTTGATATGTAAAAATTACAAATACAATACCAAGAATTGCTTTTCCCCCCTCTAGATGTGCAGTGTGATGTGTGCAGGACCAGCCTACCTGATGGAAGCTTCATGTTCTGTCTGTGGATTCAAAGTTCTGGCCAGCAGGGGGCGTTGTTGCAAACAGATCCATCTCTCCGTCACCAATCAGGAGCCACTCCAGGAAAGGTCAGTGGAAGTTCAGATCCTAAGTTACGTTAGTATAGTTCATTCCAACTCTTTTATAAACAATATACTATATATGACATCTTGTAATTTCAACAATTTTTCCCCTTTCATTCCTTCCATTAGAGGATTGGTGAGAACGGTCAAGGGGCGCTGCGCTCTACTATGGATCTTGAGCATTCTCAAGCCTGTGACGGGCAGTTTGTAGAAGACTATCAGCCGCTCAGAGCTGTGGGTAAAGGAGCCTTTGGTTTTGTTTGGAAGGCAATAAGACGCTTTGATGGACAAGAAGTAAGATGCATTGATTTTATTTGTCAATTTATGCTATATAATTTTTAAATTGTACATTTCAATTAGAATAAATTGTGATATGGCATCTTGACCAACTCAAAAATCTGCAGGTAATAGTAAAGTTCATCAGCAAGACCAGAATAGTGAATGACTGCTGGGTAGATGACCCCATGTTGGGCAAAGTGAGCCAGGAGATCGCCATACTGACACGAGTACAGCACCATAATATTGTCAAGGTAACTGCCTTGTTGCTTCAAAGCTCTTAAGTCATAAGGTTTCAGAATCATTTGTGCATAATGCAAAATTTCTTTATTCTTCATCAATGTTTATTTTACACCAGGTGCTGGAGGTGTTTGAAAATGGAAGTTACTTCCAGATGGTGATGGAGAAACATGGACATGGTTTGGACCTTTTTGAATTTATCGACATGCAGCCGAGGCTGGATGAGCCCCTGGCCAGCTATATCTTCAGACAGGTAAGAATGCCAAAATAAATTTCAGATGATGGGAGAATCTGGCATTAACCAGAGGCTCTGTTTTATGTATGTATTTTTCAGATTGTAGCAGCTGTGTTCTACTTAAGGGGCAAGAACATCATTCACAGGGACATAAAGGATGAGAACATCATAATCGACAAGTGTTTTCACATTCGGCTGATAGATTTTGGCTCTGCTGCCATTTTGGCTCCTGGAAAGCTCTTTTATAATTTCTGTGGCACGTTGGAGTACTGTTCCCCAGAAGTGCTTCAGGGAAATCCGTGAGTATTTAATCCCTGTTTAAAACAAATTTCCTATCCACTTTAAAAAAATGTAAGTTAGATGAAAGAAAAAAGTACTTTATCTTTTTTTTTTCTCCTTTTATAAAGACATGAGGAAATAGCACTCATTAGAACAATTTTTTTTACAATAAAAGCATCAAACAGAGTAAAGAATAAAAACCTAAAGTAAAATAAAAAACATTTTCACTTCATAACAAATATGATTTAAACTGGTAACAAAGTTTACGTTTGTGACTTGTTTCATGCCCAGGACGTACTCTGCAAACGGTAAGCTGGTTTATATCTGTAGCTCGACATCTGTGTATTCTGAGGGCATTTAAAAATTGAGGAGCAGCTCTAATTTGTATAAATCAGAGAGCCCAGGTGGTCGATTAAAAACCGTACACAGCTGAGAGGCTGTCACCGAGGACAAAGTAGAGAATCGTCCTCAGTTTTATCTAGTTTAAAAATAAGATAAAATTTCATTAAAATGGAAAAGGCCACCAAGATGAATTACTGTCACTGTCTTGCCCCCACCCCCCACTGGCTGCTCGCTGCAGTTTCTGTGCCAAGAGGAGTAAGAAGTGGGCATAGCTTTAGCTAGATTTGTAATCAACCTAATAAGCTTCATAATAAATACCTAATAGTACGACACTGATATTAATCCACATAAAATTTAAAAAGCTGTTTACAAACACTAATTTAACTATTGATGGAAAAGCTGATATGTTTCTAACTAATCTGTAAGATTATTTTGATGTTTTGTGACTCATTCTTTCTAGCTATGAAGGTCCAGAACTGGAAATGTGGTCTCTTGGAGTTTTGCTCTACACTCTGCTGTTCAGTGAGAACCCTTTCTGTGACGTGGGTGAAATTCTGGACGCCAAACTAAAGCCTCCATTCCCCTTGTCTCCAGGTTTGTCATTTTGTTTGCTGCTTACATGTTTGTTCTGGGATTTTATTTTATTTTTTTCTCAATCCAGTCATATGCATCTTCTATGTACTCAGAGTTGCATGGATTGTTGTGTGGTCTGCTGCACCCTGTTGCCTCAAAGAGGATGACCTTAGACCAGCTGTTGTTGCAGTCCTGGATTAGCCAGCCCATTTCTCTTGCAGAATACAGCTGGTCTGAGGTAGTTCCTGCAACTCAGAGCTTCTGTGAGTTTTCCTCAGCAAAACAGTTGTAAGTAACAATGTCCTGTCATGATTTAAAGTACTGAGGGCCATCTCTTCTTCTAACAGGCTCATCACACCATCAGATGTCCAGTTCTAATGGGTACATCAGATCTGACTTGTTCCCAGATCAAGGAGATGAGTCGCTGCCCGAAGAGGAAGAGGGTAGCGACGAGGAGAGCTTGGCCTTGCAAAATGAGCTTCAGAAATGCCTCCAGAGGACTGAAGACTTAATTTAAAGAGGCAAAAGACTTACTGATCATCAGAAACTTGATCTGCAGCAGCACTGAAGGATGAGAGTAATACAAGTTAGAAAACGTAAAAACAATCTAAGTCTGTCGTCAAGACCAAGTTATTTGCAGACGAATGATGTGACTTTGTAACTTGTCAAAGTGTGGCCTATCAAATGTTTATTTTTTTACTACAAACAGAGGAAGTCAAACATATTTTGATTTATCTGTAGACTTTTTATTCCATTTTTTATTTGAGGAATCTTTTTTAGCTCCAACATAATGTTAATGAATGGTAAGAATTCCTTTTTGTTGAATAGCTATTCAGAAATGTAGCTCTCGGTCTCGTATATTTTAATAACATGTAAGTAAATTTACAATTTTTTTATATTTATTATTTTACATCAATAAATATCTTACCACAAACATTTGTTTTTGTTTTAATATGAAGGAATAAATTGTCTCAAAAAGCTACAGAGTGATTGATAGTTCACATGAATTCATTGTATTTTTGTTTTTTTGAATTTACAATTTACTAGCAGACAATACAGTAAACTGACTATAGGGTTTACCACAAAAAGACATGATTACTTGTAACACTTAAATTAGAGCTGCTTTGCCAATTCTAAATTTTCGATGAATATCTAAGTAAATAATTTATCAAGATCACATACTTTTTTCTTTGTGTAGGTTTTCTCTGAATAAAATCAGTCATTTTTCAGCTGATTGTCAGTGTGATTACTTAAAATAAAATTCCGTCATTTTTAAAAAAAAACATTCCAAGTCTAAAGTTTAATATTAATGACAAGAAAAATATGCAACTCAAGAAATAAACAATGAATCTCGTTTTATACTTTTCCGCGCATACACAACTTTCAACAAGCAAAGCGGACATTTTTATTATAGTTTCTAGTCGGAGCGTAATACGAGCCGAACCAACATGGCTACCCGTCTAGTACATCCGGTAAGTTCGAACGTTATAAAATGTGACAAAGTATTGACATAATTTCTATTAAATTAACTTACTGAGACATGTAATTCAATATGTTTAACAGAAATACGAAAGAATAACGAAAATTCAGTTATATGTTTACAATTTGTCTTCTCTATTAAATTAGTTGTCATGGCTCAGAGACTAACTGTAAAGGTTGAATTTATTTATTTGCCTTGTTTAAAGACTGATTTTTTTTTTCTTCCACAGATTCTGTGGACTGTAAAAAATGCCACCTTGCCATTCAGTTGTGGCTACTTTAGGAGATGCCACCTCCAGTTTTCATGGCTCGGGTGCAGATTTTTATCCTCCGACGACCAGACTCCTTCACCATCAACTCGGCACAACCAGATTATTTCTTCATATCAACCGGTAACCGAGCTGTCCGTCAGCTCACTGCTTGATATGGGATTCACAGACTCGCAGGCCAAGCATTTGTACGACTCCGTGTCTGGTATCAAGGGAAGAAAGACTGACAAACAAGTTTTATCAATACTCACAGTGTTGTTCGTCCTGGGCCTCAACCCCAGCAGTGTGCAGCTCCTTCTGGACAAGTGTCCTGAACTTTACACTGTTAAAGACACACAGCTTCAGCAGCGCATAACCTTCCTGCGGAAGCTAGGTCTGGTTGAAGGTGAGGTCATTTTCAGAACACAATAAAGGTTTAGTTTAGGGGTAAGCAGAGTATGTGTATCAAAGTTGTGTTTTCTCTCATGAAATCATAGGAAGTATTCAGAGGACGGTGGTCCATTGCCCAAAGATCCTGACCGTGCCTGTGAAATCAGTGAAAAGTACTGTGCAGTTTCTCAGAGAGAAGTGTCTGTTTACCACCAAGCAGATCACAGAAATCCTCAGAGACAGTCCATCTGTAGTACTGGAGGCTCAAGATCAGCTGGAGTACAAGTTCCAGGTTAGCAAGCAAAGTGATTTTATAAATAAATACAAGTAAAACCATATTTTAGTTAAAAACCTTCACATTTTCTCTATCAAGATGTCATGCTTAAAGCAACTTTAGCAAACAATTTAAGTGTGTTTGTAGAGATGTCACAGAGAAGGTCGCCAGATCAAATCCAGGTCGAGGACATTTCTGAGTATGCATGTTCTCTTTGTGCAGGTGTGGGTTTTTTCTAGGTACTCCCAGTTTCCTTCCATAGACCAAAAACATTAGGCTAGCTAGCAACTGTGTGAGTGAAAGTGTGAATGGTTGTTTGTCTCGTTTCTCTCTGGCCCTGTGATGGACTTGTGACCTGTCCAGGGTGCTCTCTGCCTCTCGCACAGTGACTGTTGGATATGGGCACCAGTGACCCCTGCAACCCAAAAAGGAAGAAGCGGGTAAAGATAATGAATAATATGGATAACGGATGGCTGGATAGATGAAACATTCTTTAAAAGTTAAATTGCTCAATAAGAATTTATTTCCCTGACTGATAAAAAAAAACAGTTCACACACTTGATCTGAGTTTTACTATGGGTTAATTCAGATTTACTGACTTCCTCAAAACACGATTAAACATCGTGACCAAGGATGCAGTCATAAAAGTCTATAACCAACAACTTGTGTCCTATTTAATTTATTAATGCAGTTTTTCATTGTGGTGTGGTGTCTAATAACAGGGTTCCCAACAACCCTGGAATTTAGAGAAAACCTGGAAAATGACTTCCTTTTCACAGACAGGAAAAATGCAGGGAAGTAGAAGATCTGATTAAAAGTTGATCTTTCTGAGATTTTGACATGTGCATGTATTAATGCTAGTATTCTAGTATCATTGAGTCCATATTCTGCTTCTACAGTGTACAAACTACATGTATCTTTACTGATTAAGGATTATGGTACCGTTTTAGTTTCTGGTGTTATACAGTACAATTTATTATTAGGAATGATTGTCATTTGCATGCACTTTAGGCTACAGTACTTACTGTTATCTCTGAATGGGAGTCTGCCACTAAGCTCTGAGCATTTTGTGTGACTGAAACATCTCCTGGAATTTCAGGATTTACTCAGGGAAATGTATTTCCATGAAATTCTGTGAACCTTACCATCACATTGTGCAAAGAAATACAATATGTCACTTGTGTAACACACAACTTTAATGTTGCTGCCAAAGAGTTTGTGTTGTTTAGAACATTGCAGCAGTGCTCTATCTGATGGCAGAGGTGTCTCTGAATGGATACTGTATGAAAGTGACTCTTTCTGCTTGCTTCTAAGAGTGCATTTTAAACTTTGTCTCCGCAGTATGTCTACTTCCGAATGGGTGTCAAACAGGCAGAGATGGTGAAGTGCAGGTTGTATCGTTACACTTTGGAGGATGTGCGCAATCGACACGCTTTCCTGGAACGACGTGGCTTGTACCAAACCCCAGACAAAAAGGGACAAACTACCATTATCAACCCCAAGCTGGACAGTATACTAAAAGTGGATCAGGACACGTTTGTCAAAAGTGTCGCTCGCGCGTCGAAAGAGGAGTTTGACGTTTTTCGGAAACTACAGGCAAGAGAATGTAAGGAAGAAGAGTTCGAACACAGCAGGGTCGAAGCACAAAGTGATGATGAAGAAAGTGACAGTGATTATGATGATTATGATGAGGAGGAGGAGGAGGAGGAGGAGATTGGAGGAAAACGTGGATATCGTAAAATAAAAAATAAATATGCTGCTAAAAGAACATAATATTAAAACTAAAATGTGTTATTGGGGAAAATAAAACGTCTATAACCGTAGCTGTGAAAAGCTGGGACATTGTGTAAAACGTCAATAAAAAATTCAATGATTTGCAGAGGACATAAAACCATATTTTATTCACGTTGGAACATACTAAACATGTATTTAATTTTAAAATACATCCGTTTTTAATTTGATGCAGCAACACACCTCAAAACTGTTGGGACAGTTTATTACTGCATCCACTTTCTGTTTAACATCAGTCTGTAAACGTCTAGTTCCTGAAGAGATCACCTGCTGGAGTTTTGGAGAATATCGTCCCATTCATGTCTGATGTAAGATTCTATCTGTTTGGCAGTCCTGGGTCATCTTTGCTGGATTTTTTTTTTGTTTCAGTGTTTGCTTATTGTAAACATAAACCATATAGAGACAACCATTTAAGCAAAGAAGAGAAATCAAAAAGAAAAGCTTACATAAAATAAAGTATCGTTCAACCTTTTGTTTAGCTCACGTCAAAATAAGCAGGAAGAAGTACATATCCCTTCCCTTTAGTTTTTAATACCTACCTTATTAATTAATACCTATTATTATCTACCTTATTATTAAAACAACCAATGACAATAATAGTTATTTAGAAAAGTCATATAAATTGTATTGAAATATATGAAAGAACGTTTCTACAATTTTTTTTGTTTGTTTTTTTAATCTATCCAGAGGACCTGATTGAACTTTGTTTTTAGATTTTTCTACCTGGATTACTGAGCATGCATCAGGATGTAAATTGTATTGTTTGGAACTTTACCAGATCTGTTATTTTTGGTATTTTGACTTGTAAGATTAGAGTTTATATGGTTTTGTAACGGGCAGCACGGTGGCGCAACTGGTAGAGCTGCTGCCTCTCAGCGAGCAGGTCCCTGGTTCAAACCCCGGTCCAGGGGCCTTTCTGTGTGGAGTTTGCATGTTCTCTCCGTGCATGCGTAGGTTTTCTCCGGGTACTCCGGTTTCCTCCCACAGTCCAAAAACATGCATGTTAGGCTGATTGGTAATTCTAAATTGTCCCTAGGTGTGAGTGAGAGAGTGAATGGTTGTTTGTCTCGTTTGTCTCTATGTGGCCCTGTGATGGACTTGCGACCCGTCCAGGGTGTACCCCGCCCCTCGCACAGTGATTGCTGGACATGGGCACCAGCGACCCCCGTGACCCAAAATGGAATAAATGGGTAAAGATAATGGATGGATGGATGGTTTTGTAACCTTTTCCAGCTTGATGAGCACCAACAACTCTTTTTCTGAGGTCCTCAGAAATCTCCTTTGTTCGTGTCATGATCCACTTCCACAGACATTGATAGATCCTGTTCTTTAAATCAAACAGGGTGCCCACTCACACCTGATCTCAATCTCATTGATTGAAAACGCCTGACTCTTAATTTCACCTTCAAATTAACTGATAATCCTAGAGGTTCACATACTTTTACAACTCACAAATATGTAATATTTGATCATTTTCCTCAATAAATAAATAAATGACACCAAGTATAATACTTTTGTCTCATTTGTTGAACTGGGTTCTCTTTATCTACTTTTTAGGACTCGTGTGAAAATCTGATGGTCATATTTAAGCAGAAATATAGAAAATTCTAAAGTGTTCACAAACTTCCAAGCACCACTGTATTGATTATAGATATAATATTCTGAAATTGTTCCACTATTTTTAGATACAGGTTTTAGAAAACTGATTAACCTTTGCCTTTACTTCTGAGAAGTTCAGTCTGTTAAAGGGTTATTTATATCCAGTTTTCTTACTGGTCTGTTGACAATTTTCCTATTTGACTGTAAAATGCTCTTCCAGCTGTTCTTTATTTGTACCACTTACAGCCTTTTGTTCCCCTTCTTCTAACTCTTTTGAGAAATGTTGCTGTCATATATATTTTTCAATCTTAATAATGGTAATATGTACAATACGTTTTTCAGAAATAGGAATCATTTAATTACTTGTTTGTAAAACTGATTTATTAGTGAGGGCTAAAGAATATGATCTAAACCAGATGTGCAGTCGTATCTGTCACCTTGTTGTTTTGATCTATAAAAACCTCCAGATGTGGAAGTAGTTGTTGTGTTTGTCTAAGTAGCGTCAACAGGATGTAAGGTGACGTCAGTGAGAGGTTGCACCAGCTCATGCGTACTATATATGACCCACGAGTGAAGTGTGAACAATGCAGTCCACTGTCAAATCTTTCCTCGTACCAGCTGCAGTAAAATCGGCTTAACCTAATTTTTTCTCAGGGCAAACCAAAATGTTTTTTTGTTTTTTTTTTGCCAAATCAGATTCAAAACTTAAAGCATAAAATGGTAAAAGACAGCAGCAGGATGAGCTCTTAAAAACATGAAAAGCTCCACCTCGTTACTATGTGACGGCCAAGTAGCTGCAGCTTTCTGCATCTCAGTCTTATCGCTGAGTCAACAAAGAGGGCATCGGATAAAAACTGCGAGTGAGAGAAGTTGAACAACGGCCATCGATTTTTGCAACAGAGCACTTTACGTCTTGGAAATCAGGTAAGATCAATTTGTTCAATCAATATCATATCAGCTTGTTTTTGGAAAGATGAAGGGATCTTTGTTATTGTATTGCATTACCTGTTTAAAGATTAAAGCTCTATCATACAAAGAAACCATTTTATGGATATTATCTACAATCTTTTTTTTTTTTTTTTGGGACAGATGTGATACATATTTGTAAAATCCCAAGTGTTACGCGTGGTACTATCATTTTTATAATGCTTGCATTGTTGCTCTTTGAATTTAGCATTAAAAATAATTCCCCACTCAAGTCATAAATGTCACATTTACCAGACAACTACAAATACTTTATGTTAGACGTGTTTGTTCAGTGGCTGTTTACTCATTAAAAAATTTGGGGATTTTATTTTTTTTTTTTTTGCATGCTTTTCTTGGGAATATACGAAGAACAAAGTCACTGGACTTTTATTTTTCACATTTGAATTCTGGCAGCACGACACAGACCACTCATTTTAATAATCATCTACAGTAAAAAAAAAAAAAAGTTAATGTCAACTAAGAATGGCTGTATGACCTATATACAGTAAAAGCTAAAGGCATGCATATATATATATATATATATATATATATATATATTTTTTATTTATATTTATTTTTTTTTTTTTTTCCAGGTGTAGGTGTCACGAATGAGTAAAAAAAGAAACACCAACCGCTTTATCTTTTGCAGCAGGGATGGATTGTGTATTACCTCTTAGTCCCAAACTGTGTCAGAGAATCAGTGATTAGTTCTAAAAACCAACCTTAATGTAAAAATGTGCTGATGACATCCACCACCGGTGTTTAATGTGCATCACCTTTGGACCCTCAGGCTGCACTTCATCCGAAACCATAAACAACATAGCCACAAATGACACAGGAGTATGGTGGAAAACCATTGTCTATTTGCACACTGAAATAAAACCTGAAAGCTCTGAGCAGAAACAACACAAGTTCATCTGAGAGGTACAGAAAGATCTTGGGCTCCCTGATTAAATGAGAAATACTATTAAAAGCCAACATTTGGGATCACTTAGGGCTCAGAAGTGATGGCTTGCCTATTTAAAGAAACCATTACAGCATAAGTGTGTTTGTGTCTGATTTCTCCTGTAACACTGTAACAAATTGCATCCTCAGCTCTCAAAAAAACAAACCAAAAAAAAAATAGTAATATTGTTAATATGCCACATTAGCCTGGTGATAAAGTGAAAAATACCACCCAGATATGCAGACTGGACTCGTGTGTTAGCTCTGAATCTCTGGTTACTCTATGTTATTATGCATTTTTTCCTTTACTCTATGCTGACCTTTTCCCATTTCTGTTTGCAATATGTTGCACGAATAACAAATGACTCATATTTGTGCATTGGACTGCATGGGTCCTACATTTTGAAGGAGGTGCGCTCAGCTCACAGTAATTTATGGTGTTTTTCTTTCCCAGGGCACTGCTGGAGGAAGTAGAGGGCGCATCATAAAACACACCTGCCATCCACCTGTGATTCTTCCGATACAGTCAAAAGCACAATGGCATCATCTGTACTCATTTCAAACCTCACACATGAGTGGGTTGAGACCATGAAACGGTGGCATCTAGAGCTGTTTTGCATCCCTACTGTTGTCATCACTCTAGCCACTTTCCTGGTCAACCCTGTCCTCCTCATGTGTATTTTTCTGTCCCGGACCCTGCGTCAGGAGACCCGCTACTTGCTGGTGGCCAACACCCTGACAGCAGACATAATCTTCCTCATCTTCAATTTGATCACACTGATTGGCAACGCTGTGGGAGCTCAGATACCGTGGATCGTTTGTGAGCTCCTCTCAGCGGTCCTTGTCACGGCTTACTGCTGCGCCATCCTCACCGTCACCCTGATGGTGGCCGACACCTTCGCCGCTGTCCGCTGGCCTCTTTACTACCACGACTTTCTCTCACCTGCCCGCACCAACTGCACCTTGGTGGGGTTGTGGGTGCTGTCAGCCATTTACCCCTTCACCTTAATGATCATTGTGAAGAAAGATAGGGGCAGTTATGAAAAAGTGCCTATCTGTCTGGCTCTCATCTCCCTCGGTTTCCTTCAGGTCAAAAACATCGGGGCGATCTACTTGTACTTCTTTGTTACGGCTCTAGTCTGTGCCTTCCTCATTTTTTACTGCTACATTCGACTGTACATAGTCACAAGGACGCAGGGGATCTGGCACAGCCGTTTCTCCAGGGCTCGGGTCACCGTGCTGTCCCACGGGGTTCTTCTCCTGCTTTACTTTGCCCCTGGGTTTGTCTTCATCCTGGAGCTCTTCATGTTCCAGCGAGAAGGTGTAAGTCAGGATGTTCGGGTGTGGATCAGCACGGTCAACGCTTGTGTCTTCATGTTGCTGCCCCGGGCGTTTGCTCCTTACCTGTATGGACTAAGGTACAGGGAGATCGCTGAATCTCTAATTGCACTTCTGCCTCACCACAAGAGACTCAGCCAGATCACCTTATCATGAAGGCTTCTAAAAACTGCCTAATTCATACTATTACCTGCCTTCATTGGAAATGCACTGTGGTGGACCTTTTTTGTGTAATATGTCTAATTAGTCATCAAAGTCAATGACGTATTTTGTCAAATTCTGAAAAAAATTTCATCCAATAACAATTTAGGCTTGTTTCACGTTGAGAAGTTTTATGGTTGGAATGGTCACATGCATATTATGCATGTATTTGTAATTGTTGCATGCCATGACTACAGAGAAATGTACTTGCAAGTAGAAATAAAACCATTGTTTCCTGTATGTCACGTTTGTGTGTTTTGTTTGTTTGAAATACTCCTCGATTCGGTCTTTCTGTCTCCAGCACTGAGTCTAAATAAAAAATGATACTTAACTCCATTATTTTCTATGTTTAATCATTCTTTAACCTATTTTTCTAAATTAAATGCACAACTCAAATATACATTTTACTATGCTGTTCATGCAAAACCTGTCACTAAGCGACACTTTTATGACCATAAGCACTTCACTTAATTTGATTTCAAAGCCTTGTTTGTGTAAAACTGGATGTGTACAGAGATTGTTTACATGGCAGTTTAAAGTGGATGTGAAGTGGATGATTTCTGGATGATAGTGGCGACTCAGTGCAGGTTATTTGCAACTAATACAACAGCTCAACAGCAGAGGGAGTCTTTTGTCTGTCTACTAGGCTTCACCTGCTGCCTTTTCATCAAGAGTATCAAGTGTTTGAGATCCATGCACATGGTCTGTCTTTGTTGTGTTCAGTATGTTTCATAAATCTGCTCCCCATCATACTCTCAATAAATAGATGGAACCTGCACAAAACTACATATAGGCCCACACTACAGTTGACTGTTACACTGTATATCTCTGTAATCTGATAGGGAAATTAAAGTTTATTATTTGATTCTGGTTATTTCAACCAGCAGGTGCTGGGGGCCCCAAAATAAACTTTCCCCTTTTTGAGTTCCTGTTTCTTGATTTTGATTATTGATCTCATAAAATGGTTTCTGTGGATCTTGGACAAGGTGTTTTTCTTATTTTTTTTTTTTTTTTTGATTATTTGAATGTCTTAATATTTGTTGACAGTGGATGTGAATTTGTAGCAGCTAAGATGTGTACAAGTTCTGAAGCATCCAAAAGTAGTTAAAATTCATTATCAAGATATAATGTGTAAAGAATACCTTTATCCCACTGTGTTTTGCACTACAGTAAGGAAGTTAACATCCTTTGTTCCGACTAAGCTCCTCCTTCCTTTTCACCTGAAAAAAACAAACCGATAACTGCGTTTCATCCTGTTTTCAACAGTCTATAGAGTCAAATTACAAGATTGTGACTTTTACCGCTTTATTGTTCGTCTTACTTGCCTTCGCAGTTCTGTAAATAAGCGTTATCTGCTGTAAACAATAAATTCTTGAATAGTTTGCAATAACTTATTTTTTTAACAATGCGACAGATTAGCTGACATCTACAAGTTTAAAAAAAAAACCTGATAAAACTGATTTTATTAATTTATTTTTTCTGTTGCGCTCACTTTTTAGGATGTTTTCGTCTAATAAAAGTGTCGTTTGTTTGCAAACAAAGAGAAGCCACGTGGAGGTACAGAGCCCCCTGGGAAGTGTAGTTTTCTTGTTCATACAGCGTGAAGGACAAACCGAAAATAAGACTTCATTACCCACAATGCATCAGCATAGGGCCTGGACTTTCCTTTCGACTGACAAGTATATATAGATTCTGTGTTTACAAGAAAGTCAGCTAGTCTTTGTTTTTGTCCTCGAAAGAAGTCAAAATGTTCCGGCCGAGTGACAGCCTGTCTAGTCGTTCTTAACTGTTAGATGAAAATTATTGGGGTGGTGGAAAGATACTGCTAAAACTTTCCACTGTAGAGAGTTATTTTTAATAAGACTTTTTGTTGTTGTTTGTTTGTTCTGTATTATTAGAAGGATAAGCCTCACCTGGACACTTCTGACTAAGGTAACAGCTTGTTCCCTATAAATACTGATGTTAGAGAAATGTATTAGTGTAAATTCCGGTTTGTTTACTGTAATTTGACGTGTCATTTTTAAAAAACTTTTTCAGTACTCAACCGCTAACGGTCGGCGCGAGCGAAGCTCAACCGTCTGCTGCACGAGGCAAGTCTGCTTTTGTCTCACCGACGCTCATAAATTTTCCATTTCCTTCTCTTTTCATGCACCTGAAGACATTTTAGTCAGTTGTTTGGAATTATTACAACAGAAATATTGCTACATAACGACTTAATTTAACCCATTTTGTAAATAATTTCAAAAATATGTCACAAACTCATCCAACTGGACTAATATGCATCTTGATAATAACAACAACACGTGAAACAGCTAAATAATCATCCACTTGTTTTGTATATTTTACTTCCTGGTACTTTATAACTATTTTATTTGTTTGCTGCTAACTACAGCCGATTCACAAAGGTCAGAAACAGCTGGCAGAACCTGTCTTTGTCTTATAATCTGTTTAACCCTTCTGGCAAAAAAAAAAAAGGCCATGTGAATAAGGCTGAGTCTTATAAGTTAAAAATAACCTGAGATAAATGACCTCACAGGAACATAGGTCATAACCTACTTGTCAACTTCAAAAGAGCCAAAAAATCCCCTTGAACTGTTGAAATATTATCTGGGTGCCTGTATTATTAAAGGTATGTATTTAATGTATACAAAAGGGTCAATAATTAGGTAAAGAAAAGAAAATGGAAAAGGTGGATTGAAGACGATGGGCAGAATAGAATAATAGAACAAAAAATAAGTCACTCAAGGTTATTTGAGTATTCTTGTTCCAGTTCCAGTCCTCAATTACCGGTAGTATTGTCTATTAGCATCCCTGCCTCAGTCTCTTTGAAAACAAACCTGACTGACATGTAGGTTGGTCCTCCAACCGTTGCTCAACCTCTTCCCGCCTCGGCTTCTTTGTCATCCTCTCAGTCTCATGCAATCCATTGTGCTGCAGGGCACAACTGCTACGCAGCAGTGTTTGGCTACAGGAAGTGTCATCCAAATTTATGTGTAGCTCCTCAAAGCTTGTTTTGTTCGTCTGTGATGTAAAACAGTACATGGTTTTTCTCATAATGGTGAAACATCTGTTTGTGTGGCTCATGTATTTCCCCACCGAGTACAGTGTTTTGATGCGCTGCTCAATGAATGCTTTATTTTATTTTTTTTGCATGTGGTGATCCAGTTAGGTTGCCGTTGTTGTTGTTTTTATGCCTCTTTTTTTTGCTTTTTACTCCCATTCCTGATCCAAATGTTTTTAATTTCTTAGATTAACCAAAAGTTAAAGAGGGCCTACATTAAAGGTTGGAGCCATGGTGTTGATTCTTGGCCGAAGGAGTGGGGACTCTGGGATCAGAGACTCACCAGCTGTCAAGCGCAAGGTGGTGTCACAGATGGGGCTTTCCATGTTTTCTTTTTTTCAATGATATTCAGTTTGAATGACATTTTGACATGTGTTATTTATTCTTAAGGTGTTTGAATCCAAACCCCCAAGCAGTCAAGATGTCTTGGACTTCTGCTGTGGTTCGTCTCATTCAGATGGCATCCTGCAGGTGTTCAATGAGTTTCGTGATTCTCGCCTTTTCACTGATGTGGTTATCAGCGTGCAGGGCCTCGAGTTCCACTGCCACCGTGCTATTCTCTCTGCATGTTCCTCCTACTTCAGAGCCATGTTCTGCAACGATCACCGTGAGAGCCGTGAGATGCTAGTTGAGATCAATGGCATTCTGGCTGAGGCGATGGACTCCTTGCTCACTTTTATTTACACTGGCCGTGCCAAGATCACCACTGAGAACGTCCAGTTCCTCTTTGAAGCCTCCAGCCTCTTCCAGATCAACACACTACGGGATGCATGTGCTAAGTTCTTGGAGGATCAACTGGACCCGTGCAACTGCCTGGGCATCCAGCGTTTTGCAGAAGCCCACTCTCTGAAGCAGCTTGCCAGCCGCTGCCGCAGTTTTGCTCTGGCCAACTTCTCAGAGGTGGCTCAGCATCAAGAGTTCCTTGACCTGCGCTGTGAAGAGCTGGAAGACTACATTAGTAGTGAGGATCTGTCCGTTAGTAAGGAGGAGGTCGTGTTTGAGGCGGTCATGCGATGGGTTTACCACAGTGTGGACCACAGGAGATCCACACTCAAGGCTTTGTTGCTCCATGTTCGCATGCCCTTGCTGCATCCCAACTACTTCGTCCAGACGGTGGAACAAGACCAGATCATCCAGAACGCTCAAGAGTGCTACCAAATTCTCCATGAGGCCAGACGCTACCATGTGCTAGGCAATGAGATGATGTCATCCAGAACTCGTCCACGGAGGTAACAAAAATGTCAGCTTCCTTGGTATGAGGAATGTGACTGCTAAATTAGATGTGATAACCTGTGGAAGTAGTATGACTTGTTATGACTAATCATTCCTAAAAAAAACATGTTTTTGATCTCATCCACCTACATTTTTTGTTTTCTGGAATAAAATGCCTTCTCCACTTTGATGACAGGTTCTAAGCAGCAAGTCAACTCTTTGCATAGCTAGAGGTTGTGGGTTAATGAACCCTGTGCTCCTGGCTGTGGTGTGCATGTGAGCGAGACGCAGTCGGGGAGTGTTATTTTGCTGAAGAGACTTGCCGAAGGTTTGTTTTGTTCCAAGTATTTGGAAATGGAAATGGTATAGAGGGAGGCAGGGCATGTTTAAACACAGACTGATTTCTTTAAACGAAACATAATTTATGTGATGCATGAAACGGCAATCACACGAACTGTCAAGTCTTGTCAGCAATGTAGCTCCCCTCATGGCTGTGTTTGGGTTTATTCTATCTTTATATCTTCCACCTATTTATCAAGTAGTTTATTTCTGGTGGTTGAGTCTTATGTTATTGTTTGAAGAGCGGCCTGTTGGACACTAATAAAAGGCTGGTGCTGACTGAAACCCTAACAGTCCAGTACAAAACGGCATATGGTAGACTGGCACACCACCAACAGCAGTGCAGCTGCTTTTGTTATTTGACCTGCTGAAATGGTAAAATGGGAACAATGCCATCTGTCAGTTATTAAGGCAGTGCAACATGTATTTCAGGTGTATTGAGCCATTCCCCAGGAAACTCCGTTCAGAGCAGCAAGTTTGCTGAGCAGTTGGTACCAGCATTGTCTGCCTTGTTTGCCCTCAGGACCCAAATCATATTCAAATCCAGTGCCTGATTTTCTGCCTCTGAGTGTACACCAGAGTCGTTTTTTTTTTCCTTTCAGAGGCCTCAAGAATATAATTAATGTTTTGAACGTTCGCTCTAATAAAGCTAAACCACGTGTGAGCAACAGTTCCTGATGGAATAATTCATCCACAGCTGAAGTACCCTGGACACCTGCTACTGTCAGATCAAACCCTTTGTACAAGAAAGACAGACAGTATTACATCACAGCCTGCTTAGGAGATGCATTTGTTTTTACTGCATTTATCAGCCAAAATTCAAAGCTTTGTTTTCCTAGAAATTCAGCTGGAGTCTTGTTCAAAGTGTCACTTTCATCCCAACTTGATACCTTTTAACATCTGAACTTTAAAGATAAGTTAAGCTGGAAATCAGTACTGTACTTGTGTCATAGACCAGATGTTTTCCTTTTTATTGGAAATCTTGACACGTGTGTGTTTATGTATTTATCGGGTACTCTAAATCTTTTTCACTTATTAATGTTCTTGTTGTGTTTTTGTATATGCTTTAGCTAGATTTTTTTTTTTTTTTTTTTTTTTTTTTACTAGCCACTTTCTTTCTCATTACAGTTTGTTTTACCTCCGTTTTGTCTTTTCTTGTCCTCCACCGCACAGGTCAACTGGCTACTCTGAGGTGATCGTCGTGGTTGGTGGCTGCGAGCGGCTGGGGGGCTTCAACCTGCCCTACACCGAATGCTACGATCCAGTCACAGGAGAATGGAAATCGCTGGCAAAACTACCCGAGTTCACCAAGTCAGAGTACGCTGTCTGCGCCCTGCGCAATGACATCCTGGTGTCTGGTAAGATCCTTGTCTATTTGTTACAAACTCAAAACTTGAAGTCAGTGCAAACCATGCTGCCATGAGAACAAATCAGTTCAAGTGTTCACTTGTTGGTAATTGCTTGCCAACTTGCCTGAAACAAAAAGTAATAATTTATCCAATATTAGGGTTTTTATTTCTGTTATTTTTAATATGTAAAAGTGATTTGTGTGTTTAAAAAAAAAAAAAAGTTGCGTTCATTTATAGTTTTTGCCCTTTTTAGCTAAAGAGGGAAAAGTTGAGAGCAACATCTGGATGCCCTTTCTGTTTTCAGTGAGATGTCCTCATTGTCCGACACAGCCGTACTTTCTTTCCCTGGTGACCAATCGTTGAGATCATTGTTACCACTGTTCCCCAGCGTTCACTAAAAATCATGTATTTGCCAGGATGTAGCAACACTTTTTACTTTTTTGTGGATTTTGTTGTGAAAGTTTTTTTTACAAATCACAATTCCTACAGTTTTCTAGTAAGACAGCAGCGTTTTCTTGTGTCAGAAATAGGAAAAGCCTTCATCAGAAGAAAAACAAAAAAGTGGGCCACGATTAAGCAATATGTTAGTATTGCCTCACTAGTTTAAATAAATGAGACCTTTGGATGAGCTTCTGCCAAAAGGGACTTAAGTTTCATTAATAAGGTGCCCCTCTGTACCTTTCTTGGACAGCAAAGCGGATAAGAGTTTTTGTTTCTAATTGTTTTTCAGAAAATGCCATGACAAGACCTTTTGATGGGCTCATTAGGACTGCCCATGTCTAAACATGCTGTGTAAAAGTTGCACAACGTTAAGGAGCAAAACAGATAAAGAAAGAGTGGAAAAAAATAGGAAGTTGTTCCCCTCAGCAAAACGTGCGTCTGTTTCTCAATGTGCCAACTCCTCACGTGTGAGCTGTCCATGTACCTTCACACTTCCTGGAAACATACACCTCCCCCACATTGTGCCTCATGCACATTCAGTACTCGAGCCTTATGATTTTACTGCCCCACTTTTCTGTTTAGTTTTTCTTGTAACCTTTAATCTACTTTTCCTAACTGCACCTTTATGTTGCACTGTCTTTATTTACATTCTTGTTGTGTTGGTCCGTTGGCCTCTCGTGCATCTGGTGCAAACAGCCTGTTCTGATGCACAGCTGCAGAGAGCTGTGATCCTAAATGGCTCGTGGCCCAATTGGTTGTACAAAGCATCTTTTGTTTCTCCGTTCTTCAACTAAAAGCCTAACCATTACCAAAATATTTTGCTCAACAATGATTTAATTTAGGCATGTTTGTTTAACAGTATTCGGCTAAAACACATGGGGGTGCCTCGTGCATCAGAACAAGCTGACTCAAAAAAAGCTAAAAATAGCCAATTGTTGAGCAATTCTTAGATTCTTAGTATCATACAATTTATGTTGGGACTTCTAGGAGTCAAGAAAATTTTGGTTTTTTAGCACTAACTAGCCAAATTCCTTTTGCCTCTTTCAAGTAGTAAATCCTTCATCGACGTGTTTTCATCATAGAAATCTTTAACAACGGAAGCCTCAAGGGCAGCAGACAGTCTGGCTCTTTGATTATGTTGCAGATTATTGAGCAGACAAAAGTTAACTAACTTCCCAAAGTTTTTTTTTTTCTGTGTAGTATAGCATAATATTAAATCATGGAATAATGATCACACTAAGTTATTTCTAAATTAACAAACAAAAAAAAGGGTAAACATGATTAACCCATGTCTATTAGAGTGTGTGAGGAAGTTGTGGTGGATTAACCTTACTAGACTCACTAATCTGTCTTTTATTGTTTACAATGGTTGGTTCAGATTTAAGTCCTTTTTACATCCAGGAACCTGTTTTTAAACCAACAGATCCTTATACTTCACTATTACTCAATTTAACACTCCTTATATGTAGGTGCATAAAAAGACAAACTGTTATCCTAAAGTGGGGCTATTCAACTGGCGGCCCGTGGGCCAAATCAGGCCCACAGCTGAGCTCAGTTTGGCCCACCAATGGGTTCATTCAATAAAACTAGATTTTAAACCATAATACAAACTTACTTATTGACAGTAACTGCTGGATGTCCGGCCCCTGAGCTCTTGGCTTTCAGTAACTGTGGCCCCCTGAGCAGTTTAGTTGAATAGCTCTGGGCCTATACCCTTCTGTCATATGGGCTAAGAATTGTTAGATAATAGTTTGTAAGAATCGTTGTGATTTTCTTAAATTAACATTAAAGCATTTTGTTTAGGAAAATTACTTTGTAACCATTCTTGTTATCCTGATGCATGCTCAATAATAACCATTCTTGTTCTTTTGGATCTCAAACATTTGAATAGGACCTGCTTATCTTTCCACTGAAATGACTTTTATTGTGATTTTGTGTAAACTAAATTTCACCATATTTCGTATATTAGTCTCAGGTAGCGCTGTTAACGGGCAATAATCAAGTTTTTATCATATTTGCTTTAAAGACGTTTGAAAAAGTGATGAATATTCAACCTATTTGCATACATTTCTGGTAAAATAAAAAAAAATTGTGCTTAGTGTATATTTAAAGTAAGAGCATGCTGCACACAGTGCATGTTTTAGGAATCCTTCTTTTTGTCCTGGTTTTGTCTATTTAACTCTCCAAGACCCAGCTTAGGTCAAAGTTCAATAAGATGTGAAGCTTTTCCTCAGATAAACCACATCTGAAGCACAAACGTACTGTCTGAAGCTGGATGCCATACAATAGCAGATTTTTTTTTTTAATTACCAGGATTAAAAATGTAGATGAACAGATGCTGTAATATATTCATCATTTAACGCGAGTTCCTCATTTTTCTGGACTGAATAAAACGTGCATTGAATTTAAGGAAATGCAAACGGGAGACGTCATTTAAATTTGACCCATCAAAATGAATGCGGTCATTTATTTACAGAATCAAATTTAACATCAAACATTTACATTAATTTGGCAAATTATGAAAATAACAACAAAGCAATCAATCAGGAAAAATCATACGGCCATGATTTCTCCGTTGCTGCACCAACAGACATTTATAACTGTACAACTATGATCTTTTACCCACATGAATGTGGGTAAGCACTTTACACAGACATTTCTAAATATCTGGGAGAATTTCTACTTGATAGAAAAGTTTAAGATGAAAGATGAAGTTTAAAGGGGAGAAAGATGGTGTTTGAGGTAGAGTGTTGAACAGAACGGCACTCTCCGGGCTTTCTTCAGCTTTTCCTCACAGTACACTTAGGTGGTGAAAACGACTCTTTTACCTGGAGATGTCTCAGGCGAGATTCCGTTTAACGCACCCTTTCAGCGTCTCCGTAGGATGCTGTTACTCGTCCGGAGTAGCTGCGAGGTTCTGTCAGCCACAGCTCACCTCAGTGGAAAATGTTATAATCCCATGGAACTCGGAAGAGCTTCGTTGTCATGTCAGGAACTCCAACAGCACTCCATCAGAACTCCAGAACTCTAGAAGTCTGACAACTCTCCAACTCTGAGTACCTGTGTGTCTCTCCGTGTCCCTGTGAGTTCCTGTAGAGTCTGTGTAGACCAGGAAGTACTGACATTTTAAAGACTCTTTCCCGGTTCACTTTTTGGGATTTTTCATTGGTCAGAAACGACCAGAAGGGGTGTGTTTTTGTGACGTAAGAGGTTAGAGACAGCGAGAATTGTTATGAGACAGCTCAGAAATGTTCTCACAGACCGAGAGGGTTCTGTTTTGGCGTGCCTTAAGAAACAGGTGCAAAACATCTCTATTTACTAAAGATTGTCTAAACAATTACTATTTATACTTTTAATTCTTATGGACTTTACAGTTGTCACATGTGTGTATATATATATATTTAACAGAATTAAAAGTTCCTGTCTCTGTGTCTCTTCAGGAGGTCGTATCAACAGCAGGGACGTGTGGATGTACAACTCCCAGCTCAACTTGTGGTTGAGAGTGGCTCCTCTTGTCAAAGGCCGCTGGAGGCACAAGATGTGTGTCCTCCTGGGCAAGGTAAAAAGAAAAAAATAATGTAGACAATTTAACGTTTTAATATCTTATTGCTTCCAGTTTTATATATAAGAACCTCAGATGTCACATGCCGTTTGTAACACGTGAGCTGACTGTGCACGGTTGCGCCGTCGAACATGCACAACACAGCAGGGGCTTCTTTGTGTGAGATATGTTCTCACAACTCTAAATGTTTCAGTGTGGCTTTGGGGTGACGCATACTGGATTTAGGACATAATTCAAAACACATGCTGTGCGTATCAGGGTTTTGTTTACAGCACGTCGTGGATGGTATTTTTGTTTTCACGTGCAGAGCGTCTTGAAAATGTCCAGAGATTTTTCAAGGCTGCAGAGGAGGTGAGACAGTAATCATGTTAAAGATATTTCTGAATATGTCATGGGAAAAAAAAAAAAACCATTTAATGCTAGTAAAAGAGAGCAATGCACTTTAAACCAGTATCGTGTTCGATTGATAAAGATAAAATGCTTAATTATGGAAATTTTGAGTAAAGGATTCTTCTGAAGAACATCATTTTTGTCATTCCTTTGTACTTAGGTGGTCATTGTGCTATCTGATACAGAGTACAAAGAGATAGACAAAAATCATCTTTAAAATCCCCTGTGGTGTGGTATGAGGATGTCCTGCTATATATTCTGAACACTTTTGGTTTCACATGTTAACCTTATTGGATGTTGCAGTTCTTTGAGGGTTTTACATCCTCACTGATGACTAATACTTTATGTTCTATACATTTGTTTAGTCATCAGGGCGGTGAAGCAATAGTGGATGTAAGCAGGAATTATGTTTATTTTATCGTATTTGTGTACGTCATAAATTCGTGTCGCCTCAGGCTTAGTAAAACAAGTGCTGGTATTGTGCCTATGCATCTGTGAAGTTTACTTGGGTAAAACCAAGCACCACAAATCCTGCAAAAATGTGTCTAATTCTCATTTTATACATCAAGCATACAGAATTTGTTAACTGTATAACTTGTTATAATATTTTCCACATTAAGTCTTTAAAAAATTGCTAAACGTTAGATGTTCACAATCTTTTTTATTAAACCATAAGTGAGAAATCCATGTTTTCTCTTTTTGTGCACTTCTTTATACGTCAAGGATTAAAAAAAAAAAAAAAGGCCAGGGGCCATTTTGATTATAAAATTGGAGTGAAAATAAAGTTTCAACGTAACCGGATCAGTAGTTCTTCATTGTTGTTACTCGACTCTGTTGCTGATCTTGTTTCAGGTCAGTTGTTCGCTGAAAGCGTGCCAACATTTCACGCTTCCAAGTTTAGACCTAGTTGTGCGCATTAGCCTGCATCGTGCTTCGTGTATCGCTGCAGAGGCCACAGATAGCTGCCAGAGCTGTAGATGAGTCCATAAACACACACCAGATCCACACGAGAACCCATATTTCAACCCGCCTCGAGACATGGTGAAATATTTATAGGGGAAGCAGCATTTATACTTGAAGGAAGGAATACTTGAGTCTGAGAGCTGACATTATTTCTTCCCAGTATTGTTGACAAACTGAGCTGTCATTTATTGTCTTGGTTGAATCGTATACGAAGCGTGATCATGTACGATGTAGTGTAATCAAAAACTCAATAACAATCATATGCACGCTTTAGCAGTAGCGTACTATGACATGCGTGAAGACGCATATGGCACAACTATGATCATCCTGGAAAACTTTAGCCTGAAACTACATTTAAGTTACTTTTAAGGAAGAGCACGACTAAGAATGTGTTCGTCATGTGTAGCTACAGCTCACACATCTTTGTTTCATTTTGGGATGTTAAGTTTCTTGCAGTTTGTTTTGGTTTGTCATGCGACTTTTAAGACAACACCCGTAGTATTTAGCACCCTGCCACAACCAACACATGCACACATTTGATCTCATCTTTCATAACAGCGTGGTGATTGTCTGTGAGGTCATAATGTGGCTGTTAAAAGTCAGTACATGACTGATTTGGGTTCTCTACAGTAAAGGCGCTTTAATGAGTTTAAATAGTGTTTAAAGTTAATTTAGACTTGGTGACGGTTAGATGCTTGTATCTGGGTTCCTGTCTTAGACACGCAGTATCTCTTTTGGCTCTTTCTCCCCGTTGTATATTTTTTTTCCATAAAACTGAGTTCCCTACCTGATCAGTGCATTCCTGCTCATTTCCACTTTCAGCCTGTAATCTCCTCTTTGACAGACAGCACTGTCACATGGCTGTGCGCTGAACGTGAGCCTCTATAATCATCGCCTGCACGTGTTCACACATTGAAGAAGAAAAGCATTTCAACTGAAATTAACTTACCAGTCATTTTCATGTTCAGCAGAAAAATGCGACTCGTGTTTTTGCATGCCTTTTTCTTATTATACTCATGTCGACTCTAGATATCCACAGTGAAGTGTAAACTTCTCATATGAACCTGATTTATAAAAGTTATGCTGGACATTACTTATTTTTTAAGTGTCTTTCATTATTTGGCTGTTACTCCCTCTCACCTCTCTGGAATAATGGACTGCTCAGACAATGTTATGTTCATTTATTTATTATTATAATCGTGATTAGCTTCAGATTAATATTGTCTGCAGCTAGTATATGTAGCCACAGATTTATGATTCACATTTGGTGATTATGTGATAACAGTACTCTGTTATTAAATAATCATGCTAACAGTTTGTATGCAAGTTGAATCATCCTCATCCTCATCAGAATAAACTTTATTGGCATTGCACCGAGATACAACGCGAATATGTACGTACAGTCGTCCGAAAGATGAAATATTATTTATAATATATAATGAAATATTCCTTTTTGGACTCGTGTTTTATGGAGTATTAAAACATGCACATTGTTAGTGATATTTAAAGGAGCAACAAAGAAAAGAGGCAAAGATCCCCACCACCAAACGCCAGCATAGCTTTCTTTAAACACTATAATGAATAGATAGCTTCAGCATCACATTAAAGGGTCATTTTGTTCACAGCTTAATAAATAAATAAATTTTACATTTTTAGATCCAAAAACAAAACGGAACCAAAAAAAAACTAACTTTACAAATTAAAATCATGAAAAATTAAAATGATTTTGTGAAAAAGGTCCAAGGAAAACCATCAAATCAGTCGTTTTAAAAATAAATATCAGTTGGCTCCTAATTACTATAGCTTTACCTCTCAGTACCAAAACATCACATTTTTTTGCAATTTCACTCGCATCTTTGTAATTTGTAGCGACAAACAATTGTTTGTTAAAGACTTCCAGCACAAAGTGACAAAACAAACACTGGGTTTGACCTACTGACTGGTCTTAGTCATGGTCATTTATTTGTAGATGTCAGTGACGCTGCTGCTTTTCAGCTTGTGCGTCTGTGTTTTTTAAATGACTTTATTTTTAACGTGTGTGAATCCTAACAAAGTCAAAACCAGTTTGAAACCATCACCTGTCTCATGCAGAAGTTTACAGATGTTGAGCGTTTCAGTTGGGAAAAAGCAGTAGTACCATCTAACTTCACACAATAAATGCAACTGTATGTGTGCCCCTTCAGGTTCCCTCTTTTTGTTTCCCTTTCTTTCTTTCTTTTTTTTTCCTCCTCTCTTCTTTGCGCTTATTTGTGTTTCCTGTTTTGCCGAGTGACAGGAACCGCCTGAAGGTTTTCTGTAAAAAAAAAAAAAAAAACAAGAAAAACAACAACAACAAGAAAAAAAAACAGTCAGTGCACCTTGTAACCAGCGGAGCTGCTTTGTGGGAACAATCAGCACCTCATCTCTTTCTAGAAAATAATGTTGACAAAAGGGAAAACAAGAAATGAGTTTGTATATTTTATCAAAATGCACAGCATGATCTTTTGTTTTATGTAATTTTGGCTTATCGTAAAATTAATTTGTACTCATTCAACCCAATTCAAAAACCCAACTGTAGGATCTCCTGCTTTTGTTTCCGGCAAGAACGTTGTGACATAATGTTGACGTAAATAAAGAAAACGGCAACTAAAGTTTGTATTAAACATTTAGCAAATTAGATCGCAACGGTCAAGGCTGGTAGAAGTTAGCGTGGTGAATACAGTTATAAAAACAAAGACAGGAATATTTGTCCTACTTCACAAACAATGCGTCATCGTCTTCTGGACCTGATTAACTGGTTCTGTAAGTGCTGATGTAAGGAGCTATTGTTCATACAAACTTCTAAGTTCTAAAACCTTTTTTTTTCATATTGCTTAATGATGTATTCTTCCATAACTCATTTTTCTTATATTGTTGTGGATGACAAAGCGGGGGGGTTTACGTCAGATCTTTTAATGAGGCAATCCTCTCGTTTCTGTTTCTCTCCTCAGGTTTATGCTGTGGGTGGCTATGATGGCCAGAGTCGTCTGAGCAGTGTGGAGTGTTACGACTCTTTCTCGAACCGCTGGACCGAAGTGGCTCCCATGAAAGAGGCAGTCAGCTCTCCAGCTGTAGCCAGCTGTGCTGGCAAGCTCTATGTCATTGGAGGAGGGCCTGATGACAATACGTGTTCAGACAAGGTAGGAAACGTGAGGGCTCGCCCACCCACACAGTCCAACACAATGATGACGGCTGAGCTGCCTTTTGTGCTCGATAACTTGTTTTATATTATATATAAGAATAAGACTGTCTTTTTTTTTTTTCAACTGAGCTGTGCGTTTAATTTGTTATTTTCAAGTAATGTATGCAGCACATTTGGTATATGCAAGTTTCATCTGGTTTTCAAGACTCTGATTACATTTAGATCTATATCTCCCATAAAAATACTGTATAATTTCTAATTTTTTTCCGCTTTTAAGAGGTTGCCAGATTAGATGGAAATGTCCAAATTAGAAAAAGGCTGGTGGATTTATTTGATGCAACACATGTTGCTCATTCTGGTCAGTCTTGATTAAACAATAACAATGAAGAGTTTAAATCCCTAACTAATTCTCAAAATGCAATTGCATTTTACAGATTGATGAAATATCTTCACCGTGTTTCCTCCTGTCTGGCACATTCTCAGTAATAAACTGATACGTGCCTTACACAGAAATCTTAAATTCTCTAAAAGTAGTTAGTTTATCTCCAAAGGAGTTTCTGTTTACTCACATTACAAAACACATTTAAGGGCAGGTTGGTAGTCTGATTAGAGATTAGACAAAAATGTGTGGCCTCTCTGCGTACGTGGCTGTACCATACCCTAGAGGAATCTCAAATGTATGCAAGTCATCCAAGACTTTTCCTACGCAACGCCAAAAAAGTTTCACATCAACTCCAAGAGCCCTCATTTGTTGAAGCGAGGGCTTGTTCATATCAAGCATAGTCGGAGGGCAAACTGCTTGAAATTAGGCTGTTTTAAATAAATAGTTAATTCTTGGATTGTAGCAGCACACTGAACGTTTTTCTTTCTGTCAGAAGTTTCCCTTAAGCATGATGTTTATGTTCTGTCTTTCACCAATCAGGTAACTGTGTGTGTGTCACAGGTTCAGTGCTACGACCCAGAGAACAACTGTTGGATGCTGCGTGCTAACATCCCCATCGCCAAGCGCTGCATCACAGCAGTGTCCCTCAACAACCTGATCTATGTGTGCGGTGGTCTTACCAAGTCCTTATTTTGCTACGACCCAGCAGAGGACTACTGGATGAATGTGGCCCAAACCATAAAGAAACTGGTAAAGGACCGATTGATGATGCTGAGAAAAGGCACCATCTTTTATGTTTGAAGAGCTTTTTCAAACGGTTTTATTCACGTCTCTTCACAGGAGAGCTGTGGCATGTCTGTGTGCAACGGCAAGATCTTCATCCTTGGTGGCCGAGGGGAAAACGGCGAATCTTTAGACACGATCCTGTGTTACGACCCGGCCACGGGCATCAGCCACGGCACCTCAACCATGCAGCGGCCCATCTCCTACCATGGATGCGTAACCATCCATCGCTACAACGACAAATACTTCAAGCCATGACCATAAACACGCACTTGTGAAGAAAAACTCTTTTTTAAGTGCACTAAACAGCTACATCCTTTTTTTTTGTTGTTGTTTAAATGTCATATCTGTTAATTCAGATCAAGGAATTCTCAAGCTAATTTATTTCCTCGCAGCATCATGTAGCAGTACTCACTGTGATGCTGTGAATCGCTTGTTTTTCTGTATAATACAGCTCTGTTAAATGCTCAGTACCTTCTGATGTTAATGATCAGCTAAGATGGAATCAGATCTACGAACACAGTTCTGTCCTTCGTATTTTTATAAAACTCCCTCACTGATGCTTCAAAATGACCTGATTGAAATGTGATGAGCAGTCAGCCAGCTGCCCTGCCACAGTGTCAGTGTCATATTTATGAGTTGCTCCCGCCCCCAGCCTAATACAAACGGAAAAGTAAAAAAACAAACTAAATAAAAAACAAGGCTGTTAAAATACTATTAGCACTAGGGATACACGATATTGGATTTTTAGTCGATATCCGATATACCGCTATGTTAAAACTTATTTGGCCGATAACCAATACCGATATTTTATATATTTTCCTTTATCAGAACATCGCCCTCTTATTTAGGCGTATTTGCTACAAAAATTGTGTCACAGCTGTAAGAGCTGGTGACATATATTCAGTAACAGCCATATGCATAGCACTTTAACTTGTATTAAATGAAAAGTGTTAAATGTTATTTATTAGCATTATTCACCTGCGATGCCGTCTCTCTAAGTTGTGGAGGCTTGTTCTGGGCTCCCAGCTGCAGTGTGGGATCCTCTGCACTCTTGTGCATCAAGACAGCCTTTGTAAGTTCAAAGTTGTCTATCCATTGTGCCGTAAGACTAAACTAATGCTAACGGGGCTAACACGACGTTCAGATGTCTGGTAAAATTCACCCAAGTGCTATCAGCTATTAGCTTCTCAATGACGACTTGTAACTCGGGTAAGGCTACGTCGGAAAAATATCTCAGATTGGGGACGATGTAGCGAGGCTCAACATAGTCCAAAAATCTTCGGAATCCAACATCCTCAACAACAACAACAAAAAACTTCCACACTGCCGACATTTTGACTTTTCCTCTCCGCCGTGCGATCATGTAGGCGTGCGTGACGTCGTCATGTTGTGCTGCCGCTGCAGGCATCCTTGTCACTGGGTTGTCGCTGGGTTGTCGCACAAAAACGGCGTCTTTTATATCTGTGAGTTATTTTGATGGAATGTCCGATATTGAACTAACACTAATATCGGCCGACACCATGCTGATAATGTCGTGCATCCCTAATTAGCACCACTTCATTGTGTCCAGTTTTCCTCACACGTTCCACTTCCCTTGCATATTTCCCCTCGCACTGTCCGCCTGTTTTGTTTTGTTTTAATTCACTTTACCACTTCTTTCCCACCACATATGATACTACAGTAGTCATTATAACAGATTGATCACATTTTCCATTTTTTAATATTTTTAAGTTATACTTGTCCATTTGTTTTGTAATTGCATGTTTTTTGTATTCCAAGTGGCTACATTTGGTGTGTCAGTTTAGCGTCGGCTCGATGGTGAGCTGAGTGTGAGGGTGTTGTGTAGATGTTGGAAGCCCTGGTTGATCAAACTCGAAGACTGCTCCGATTAACCGATGTTTGACACTTGCGTGTGGACGTTTGCGACTTTATGTCTGAATGTGTTGGAGCCACAAAGGTTTTATCATCAGGTTGTAGTAGAAGCATTGCTTTTATTAAAAGGCGCCGCGGCTGCAACTCGGGGTAACCGTGGATACCTCTTAGTGCACGTACACGCCTGTATGTGTGTTTACTGACCAGCTAAGGTGTGTAGCAATGTTATACCTCACAAAATGAACGTTTATGACAAAGATTAAGGCTCACAGTCACTAAAGTCAGCTCGTACTATGATTGGTAATGACACACCAGAGATTTTGCTGTGAATAAAACTTTATTCCGTTTTATATTATTATTATTTTTTAACTTTTTGGTTGTGTTTCTGTACTTAATAGCTCCAATTGTGCACCTTTACAGAACTGTGTGAAATGTAGTTATGGCAATGATTTCTTTTCTTTTTTTTTTACTGTATCAGTAAATGTTCTTTGCTCTCATGTGACGTATAGAAGAGACGATGAAAAGGCCTTTCGGCTCCTTTTGGCCAACTCCCGGGTGTACCGGTGCTCTGACAAAAACAACAGGGCACAGTAGAGAGACAGCTTTTTACTTTTTGAATCAGGATGACAATGTGTGTGTTTATTACTATATAACTGCATAGTTTATCATAAGATCCGCATATCATCCTTTTACTGCTCCAAAGAACAAAAACAGGCGGAGATATTTCTCTCCACTCACACTCCTTTTTAGAGTAAATAGTAACTCTGAGGTCGATAAGAGAAGTTGAGAAGCAAGAAATAAATAAAATAAGGAGGGGACTGGTGAGAATGAGAGACCGAGTGTGTGCGTCTGTGATTCATTGAGTATTTTCTTAAGATGGGACTCGAACACTGTCCTCATGCTGATTTATCGATTCCTCATTTATTGCCTTTGTAACATCTACTCATTTTGTTTAATCAAATACATTTTTTAAGCTGTGGTGAGTTGTGGGTTTGTGCATTGTTGAGATATTTTCATTACATAGTGCGAGTTAATTGTGGCCAGCGTAACCTTGAAAAGACGGGGCAGTAAAGAAGAATCAACCCATGCTGATTTGATTTAGTCCCAAAGGTTCTGTTGGAATATGTAATTCATGTCTGCATGTAAGATGGATGCTTTAATTTGTTGAGCTCTGTCTTGTTTGCCTTAAGGAAACGACAAAAGCATGAGCAATTAGATTAGATTGTGTGGTATGAACTTTTATTATTATTGTGTGCATGATGGAGGGAAGAGAATGCTTTGGATTTTTGTAAATTGTTTGTGGAAATGTAATGAATGACATTTGTAAGACGAGCATCAATAAACTTCTCTACATACCAATGCGTCGACCTGCTTTATTGATGAGAATGGTCCCAAGATGTAAACATAAAACGCTATATAAAGGCGTCAAAATTTGAGTTATCGTGAAAGATGCTGAGATGTGATATTCGATACGTTAATGTACAGCAGATTTCAATGAGGATGCCACAGATTTTTAATCAACAAGAGGGAAAATGTGCATTTTCTCATCTCTTACAATCAGCTCCATGTGGCTGCTGATGTTTTTAGTTCATCAAGGGATCGATCAATCAACCCCATGATGTTTAAATGAGCCATTGTGTTGAACAACCAGACATGGCACAAAACCAGCCGCACTATTTCAAGTAGGATTGAGCAACACATGCTCCATTAAACCAGTCATTAGGGCTGATTTATGTCTTTGCAACCTATATTTCACATTGTGGTTTGGTCTAACCACTGAAGCAGTGTTCTCACAGAGTCATATGGAGCATTAATACCAAGCAACATAGAAGCTTTAAGTTGTCACTTTTTGTAGTTGACCTATAGAGCAGTTTCCAAACTGTATTTTAGCAAAGGTTTTAGAAAAACTGGTAAATACTCAAGTCAAGAAGTATTTGGATTATTTTAATATTTTATATTCCCACCAATCTGGCTTTGGGAAACAACACAGCACAATGACAGCTTTGCAATGTTTTTTTTAATGATGTTTTTGAAGCATTGGATGCTAAGGATTACTGTGCTGCACTTTACTTTGACCTGTCCAGAGCTTTTGATACTGTAGATGTAGATCATGACATTTTATGCCATAAGCTCTCAGATATTGGTTTCTCAGATCACACTATCGGTTGGTTTTCTAACGATCTCTCAGGCCGAAAGCAATGTGTTCAACACAATAGTACTTCTAGCTATTTAACTGTCAATAATGGTGTACCACAAGGCTCAGTCTTAGGACCCACTCTCTTTACAATTTATATAAGTAAAGTAGGTCCAGAATATTCCTGGTGCCTTCTTACATCTTTATGCTGATGATAGTTATTTAAAGTCGAGCTAAATCAGTTGCTAAGGTTTTCCAGCTTACAGTCTGTATTTGACATCATTCAGTCAAACTTGTTCCGTCTCAAACTGCTACTAAATGTTGATAAAACCAAAGGGATATTTCCAAACAGAAAGTTGGTGCCAACAGTCCTTCCTCCTATCGTATCCATGCATGGTGTTCCTATTGAGTTTGTGGATTCTTATAAATACTTGGGAATTTTAGTTGATGCACATCTCTCTTTTAAGCTGCATGTCAAAAACTTAATAAAGAAGATGAAATTAAAACTGGGTTTCTTTTTCAGAAATAGATCTTGCTGAACTCTGAACACTAGGAAATGCCTTGTAACCGCTACTTTCCTTCCAGCCCTTGACTATGGTGACATTATTTACATGAATGCCCCTTGCAGATGCTGGATGTCTATCATGGTGCGCTAAGATTCATTACAAGTTGTAACTACCGTACACATCACTACACTCTGTACTCATTGGTCAGCTGGTCATCATTAACTTCACGCAGACTCTCACACTGGTACATTTTCATCTATAAATCACTCCTTGGTCTTCTGCCTTCATACAGTATATCTCCTTTCATGTGTCACGTCATCAGTGCAGTTACAGCGTGCGCTCTCAAGACATCATTACCTGCAGCGTCCCCTCAGTGCGAACTGAACTCGGCAAAAAGGTATTTTCTTACTCTGCTCTTGTAACCTGGAACACCTTGCAAAAAAAAAAAAAAAGAAAAACTGGAGCTGTCCACTTTGATTTCTTTGTGGAATTTTAAACAGTTGGTAAGTTCAATAGAAAAATCAAAGCAAACACGTTCCTGTTTTTAGTATTTTACCTTGTTTTCTAAGGCACCTTGATTTGGTTTTGATTTATAATACTACTTTTATTATTATTTTATTTGCATTTTATTGTTGTGTGTACCTTATCTGTAGTTTTGTCTAAAACAGGTATCTCTTGAAAATGAGTCCTCGTGACTCATTGAGACTAACCTGCATAAATAAAGGCTGAATCTGTTTCCTGTTTGCAGATGTATTCCTCAGATTATAACAGATAACTTTTCTACAGTTGTCTGTTATAATCTGAGGAATACATCCGCAGACAGGAAACAGGATCAGAAATTATTTTGGCCTATTAACTGATCTACTGTCACCTCACAAATTCCCTCAAGCACAAGCAGGAACTAATGTGGCACACTTACTGATCTAAATGATCTGGTTTTGCTGATAAACTTTATTTGAAATGCCACTTTACGCAGCAACAGATAAGACATGTGGCATTACAAAGAAAACATCTTTTTTTATCTTTTTCAAAAGGTAAAACTGTTTTAAAACATGACCAATGATAAAATAAAATAAAAACCATTTCCGCCATCTATTGTCAGGGTTGTTTTATAGTGGCGCAAAGTATGCGACAGCTGCACGTGGGCCAAGATTTTATGGCTGATTAAGCCGGCAAAGAAAAGGGAAAGAATATGTTGGCGAGGAATGTGGAGCTGATCTCATTCCTGATTATCTAAAATATTTTCATCAGAAACTTGCTGCCACGTGTGTTGGCTTTAATCCATTCATACAAACCGCCTGAGCATAAAGCCTAACGGATTAGTAGTATAAATCCTCGCAGGTGTCATGGCTACAGCTACCTCCGTGTTTCTCTGCAAGAAATCCATTTCATTAACGTGTCGAAGGAGAATTTGGCTCCTTTACTGAAAGACCTATTGTCTAACAAAGTGTTCTGTTACAAGACCTGAATTTAAAATGTTCGTTGATTAAAAATGTGTAAGGAAAGGAGGCATTGTGCTTTTTTCTTCACAGGCTATCAGCAAATTCCATCTAAACTCATGATAGACTCCTTGGAACTGACTTCTGTCATGTTCATGTCATTTCTGTGGAAAAAATAAAAAGATTCTCCGCCTTCATGACCCACAGGGAATGCACAACAAACAGTTCTGTAGCATCCAAAGATAATGCTGGTGTTTGTGATTATTAGTTAATTACTATTTTCACTATTTTTTTCTAAACAACTCACTCGACTAGTTAAATGTCTTGTAAGACAAGTTAGCATTTTATTTTTGCCTCCTTCATCCGTTTAGTGAAACGTCATTTGTGAAACAGCGGCGCCTGGTGGCGGTTTCTGTGAAACACATAGCCAGTGTCCACTCAGTTAGCCTACATGTCCAGAGCCAAATTTAGCAATTTACACAACACGAGTATTGGACGAGTACATCAAGGGTATGCCAAATGTTGAGTTAAATCACACACTTTTTAAAGTTAACGTTACTGAACACCATAGGGCTCTCCAGTCAGTGTGTATTTCATGCGCTCAGAATCGACGGCTAAACCGAAGTGCTAATGTTAGCTAAGCAAGCCGAATGATAGCATTCGCTAACGTGACAGTCAGCGCAGTCGGCTGTGAGAAAGTCAGGCACGGATTTATTTTTATTATAAAAATCTGGGAATACAAGTAAGATTACCTTTATTACATTTAAATTAAAGGCTGTTTTATTATAAATTACCTTCAGTTCAAAATTATAACGCTAAATTACAGACAGTCGTACCTCGCTAATTTCTCCGGGCTACAGTTAGCTTCCGTCATTGATTACTAATGGAGCGTTTAGCTTCACGGCTAAATAGCTAATGCTATGCTAACTACGATCATAATTGTCTATCTGTGCATGGTAGCAATTAGTTATGTCGATATGTATTTGTCTTTGATGCCATTTTCATTGCAGGCGATCATGTCAGGAATTAAAAGAAAACTAGAAGGAAATGATCCAGACTATGAAGATATTTCGCTGCTTCAAAATAATAAGAGAAACAAAACTGCTGAATATAATGGTAGGTTATAACTCCACCACCCGCTTTGCATGTTTGGGATAAAACCAACAGCTGCTCAGTGGTCTTAAATATTTGCTTCTCTTTTAATGTTCTTCCAGCTCGAGAAGCAACAGTCCAGAAGATTGAAAGCATCATCAGAGAGCAGTTTTCTTTAGAAATGAAGAATAAAGAACATGAAATAGATGTGATAAGTCAGGTACATATGAATAATTTATACATATATATAATTTTCTGGTTGATTAGAACATTCTTTCATTGTTTTGCAGCGTCTAAATGAAGCCAGAAGGATGATGGACAAGCTACGGGCTTGCATAGTGGCCAATTACTACGCTAGTGCTGGAATCACAAAGCTCCCAGAGGTACAGCATGATGTTTTGACACAAACTGTTGTCAGCGTCGCTTTGGTGCCACAGCTGATAATCTTTTCTCTGTATCCTAGCACACGCAAAAAAGTGACCCTTCCGTGTTGAACCATCCAGCCATTCGCCGGTTTCTGGACCCTCCGTCCCGTTCCTCTTCCCCTCTGAACCAGGACTCAGAGACTCCCTCATTGGGCCTTTCAGAGTCTGAGTCTCTCTCGCAACAAGGAGAAGGAGCTGAGAAGAACGAGGAGGGAGCATGGAGGGAGGACAGCTGCAGGCAGGAGCGCAGGCCTGGACGCAACACCGGCAAAGTGAGTTCACTTGACAGAAATGGGGGGATTCATTGATCATTTGGCAGATTGTTTTTTAACGTTGATCATGCACAACATATAATTATTTGTCTCAGGACACATTTGGTGTGCCTTCGTCCATGGGAGCAGAGCAGAGGGTGACCTACCACTCTACCGGAGAGGAAGCCTCTAGACTCTATGTAAAGAAGACCATTGTTGTGGGAAACGTTTCAAAGTATGTAGCTAAAGTAACTTCTCATTTTACTCTCGCAGTCATCATCTTTCTAACTCGGTATGTTGTGTGGCCGGTTTTTGCAACTTAAGAAACTGTTGATGTAAAATGAAAAACAAACATCAGTTTTGTTATTACTACAGTAATCCCAAGTTTAAAACTCAAATCCTTAAAATTAACAATACTATTAGCTTCTCAAAAACTTTTAAGGATTTAATTTCTAAAACAATTGTCTAAGCACGGGTGTCCAAAGTGCGGCCCGAGGGCCATTCGCGGCCTTTGCAGTGATTTGGTTTGGCCCACAACTGCAGTTTAAGAATGCTATCATTTTGGCCAGCAGGATTAAGAGGTCGATGCAGACTTTCTGCAAATTAGTTGCTAATCCTTTTTTATACAATGTTTAGGTTTAACAGCAAAATGAATGAAAAACAATCTTCTCAAATTGAGCAACATTAAGCATAATACAAACCTTTGGATATAATCTTTTTATTTTCACTTCATGGAACAAAACATCTAAAACCTTTACTGATTTCTGCCAGAAAGACTTTTGGAATATGATCCATAAAACTGAGCTAAATATTGCAGTTGATAAAATAATCAAGATGGAAACTGGACATTATAAATTGAATATAACATGGTCTCATCTACATACGAGTTGATCAACTTTATCAAACCTTCTATGAATCTGTTGCAGCGACTGAGCGCTGGATGATTTTTCAGAACTTCGATCAGTGTTTTTGGTCCAAAAGGCTGATCGACCCCCCTTTTAAAAGGGCACTTATCAATTATGATTTTGTTGCTGAGAACAGACTAAAATGAACTTTTCAAACACAAATGGTAAATGGACTGTACTTGTATAGCGCCTTTCTATCTTATGAAGATACTCAAAGCGCTTTACAACACAATCTGTGCTCATAAAGCTGTGCTGCCTTTCAAAGTGTACAACTATTCCTCTTTTGCACACCTTAAAATACTTGAACTGATCCACACTGTACTAAATCATCACGACTGCTGGCTGTTTCCGACTCTCAGGTACATCCCTCCAGACAAGCGTGAAGACAATGATCAGTCAACACACAAGTGGATGGTTTATGTCCGAGGCTCCAGGAAAGAACCGAGCATCGACCACTTTGTGAAAAAAGTCTGGTTCTTCTTGCATCCCAGCTACAAGCCCAACGATCTAGTGGAAGTCAGGTTTGTTCCTGTTATTTTCTTTACATTTAAAAACAAACACTGTTTTTAATTACTTCTCAAGCCGACACACGTCAGTAGAGGTAATCGGTGTGCCTCCTTGTCTAATAGAACTCAGTGTGTGGTGGTTTCACCTGAAGCAAATTTAGAAGTCAGTGGGGTGAGGAGAAACTTGTCCCACCCAGTTTTCCATTTACTGCGTTGCCCATAGAAACAATATTTGATTCTAATATTATAACTTTGTTCTGAGTCAGTGCTATGCCCCACCCTTTTTCACACCCCACTTGTCAAACCGAACGGAGCAAGAAAACAAATTTGGGTAATGCTTATGTAAGAGGAGGTCTGCATCATTAGCTGCCATGAGATTTACGACTTTCAGCTGAACCTCTAACAGCTACACCAGTTAGGTGACTCAGCAGCAAGCAGAAGCTCGACACAATCTCTTAATAAACAGCTCCCTCTTGTGCATTTTTGATGATCCAGTACAATCACCCCACAATTATTCTTGTAAAAGGTATTTTGTGGATTATGATGTGATATTTATTTTGAGCTAAATACTACCAGTAAAAAAACTACATCTTTTATCATGTAAACTGTCGTAACCCATTATATAGTGGTGCCCATTTAACTACAATTGGTCAGACATGACTTTTAGGTGTTATTTTTAAAGTAGCCTGTATTTAACAAGATTTTGCAGCTTTAAGAGAATAATTTAACAATTTTTAGATATTATAAATAGCCGTAAGTCTTAGTTCATCCAAAGCTGCTACGATCTCTTCAACCAGTCAGCAGTTTCAGCTGTAGCCTCCTGTAGAGCTCGTGTTGCTGTTGCAGCATTTTCAGCTCTGGTACATAAAATATCCTGATGCATGCTCAATAATCCAGGTAGAAAAATCTAAAAAAGTTAAATCTGGTCCTCTGGACATTAAAAAAAAAAACAAAACAAAGCAAATCAAAAAAATGTAGAAACGTTTCGT